ATAACTCTCCAATCAGCTTCCTTTCCCACCACCATCCCCGAGGTGGGGCAGGCCCAGGAAGGGGTTAAAGCCCTCATGTCAAACCACAAACTCGGGCACTGGCCCAGAAGGGACATGGGAACCGGGCAGCAGAGTGATAAAGGCCGGATTGTAGCAGCCCGCTGAATTGGAAATGACTTGTGGGCCTAATGAAACAGAACTTTGGCAGTAAAACAGAATGAAAGGAATGAGACAATAAAAGGCTGGAACAAAGGGTGCAGAGTCTCTTCAGCTTAGCAAAATAAGCTCACTTTGTTGTTGGGGAAAGCCAAAGCCGATTAGGCTAAACCAATGACTAAGCGTAAGTCTTCCAAACTAATTACACAGTTCACCATGTGAAGCCTAATTGGAAGCCTCCAGATGCGGGCTGCTTTGCTTTCACGGGAGTTGTACGAAGTGAGAATCACCTCACCAGCCCGGCACTGAGCGGCTCTCCGTGAGGTGAACAGCTGAAAGGTGCGGAACTGCCTCCATCCGGGGGACGGAGCCGAGAATTCATTAAGTTTAAAGGCCTCTTTTTGATCTCCGAAATCCTATAAGTGAGAATTTTAAAAAGCCAGTCCAGAGAGGAGGAGCGGAAGGGGGCGAAGGAGGAAGCCGGTGTGCGTGGAGCGTCTTTGATCCCGGTGCTCTGTAATTACCGGGCAGACTGGTGGCAGCCAGGGGAGGACAGTGGCAAACAGGCCCATTCATTTATGGCTCCATGTGTGTGGATGGGTGGAGGGGGAGGGAGGTCAGGACTTCCGTGCCATTTGGGGCAATGGCGATGGTCTAGATACATCATTCCTGCATGTATGACATCACGAGCACAGACAATATCCTTGCAGGGAAACAAACGAGGGCAAATTTGTTCTCTTGACAGAAGCCGGAGGCCTGCTCCCTCTGGGCAAGGGTCCAGTGGGAGACGAGGCTTCTGTGGGCAGCGATGAGGAAGAGCGGGGTTGGGTTTCACACCCAGGGGTGACTGCCTGGGCCATGCGATCCCAAACAATGCAAGGACCTTCCTCCATCTCTGTCTTGTCGTTTGCATCACGACACTCTGCCTCTCCTGCTGTACCTCCTCGAGGATTTCAAATGAATTACAGAGCTCAGACCATGACACATATCCCCGGAGGTACAAGATCCACCGTGGTGAAACCCTCACTGCTACCAGGCCGAGTCTCCGTCAATTTACAGCTCGCTCGCTGGATAAGGCGTGGGAAATACTACCTCTTCTGGGTCTTACTCAGAGGATGAAGAGTCTAGTTTATAAAAAAGCAGCTTTGTCCAGAAAATCCCCTCCTCCACGTCCCTACATCCCAAAGACCAGAAGTTAACTCTCCCCTGGTTACAACTCTTTTGTCTATTATATTATGCCCATGACTAGTGATAATATCCTGCTTTTGTTACAGCCCATAGAGAGCTTATCTCTCCGCCCAACCACCCTACCTACCTATGCATATTTACATAACCTTTCTAAATCACTGCATCTTCCAGCTTGAAACCAACCTGAGGAATAATCTAAGTCCAGGGACAGGCAAGGCATGACCTTTCCGGCTAAATGTGACCCGCCCACTTGTTTTTATAAATAAAGTTTTATTAAGACAGAGCCAGCGCTGGCTACAGATGGCTTGACTGTGGCATGCTTTCCCCCTGTACCAGCAGAAGCGAGTAGCTGTAACACACGCTGCATCATCTATAGTCCAACAGACTTACTCTGACCCTTTCCAAGTTCTCCAACCTCTTCCCTCAGGTGAAACACTGAAGGGAACTGAACCTCTGAGGCATCACGGTGAAGTACCTCCTACCTCCTAGTACCTCCTACCTCCTTTCTCCCGGACTGGATTCACCTGGAAGTGAGCGCAGATAAACCTGCTATGAATGAGCAGAGCCCCTTAGCCCCTTCTGAGCCAATGGTCATGCTAGGCGACCTCATCTTAACCGAAAACAAGGACATCCGAGCCTAGGGGGTGGCGGGGAGGGTTAATGGGAGAAGAGCACAAGAAGGTTTCCAGGCCACCCATCCGGCAAGTCAACCCGCAGCCGCTCCACCTGCAGTGAGGCCGTGTCACCCCTGGCGGACCCTCCCTGGCTGAAGGACAGCTGGAGCAGCTGCCCCCGCACCCAGGCAACAGGGAGAGGAGAGAGATGATGGGGGGAACCTCGAAAGAGAGCAGCAGGCCCAGCACGAAGGCCGTCAGAGGGTGGGAAGTTATAGATTCTAAGGAAGAGGAAGTGAGGTGTGAATGTGGGCAGAAATCACACGGCCTAATCTTGGCGACCTTTGCTGAGTCTTAACCTCCAGGACCTTTCCTCCACCTCTGTCACCTATACCCGCCAGGCAGATATAAGTTTCCCCACTATCCCTGGGCAGATCACTGAGCATCCCTGTGCCTAAGTCCTACCCCAGGTCCAGCCTACAGTGCCATCAGCAGTTGGAACAGGGCCCCGGAGACAGTGGCCCCGGAGACAGTGCCTGCTACCACCAAGCCCAGAGAGGAAGCCTGTGGCCAAGCTCACCTTCTCAGGGGGGGGGGGTTGAGACCGTAAGTTCAAGATTCAAGCCCCACCAGCCTCCAGAATCCATCTTGAAGCCATCCACACCCGTGGCCTGGCCCAACTGCCACCCACCCCTTCATCAGCTCCCACTGAACAACACCCGGACCCCTTCCCGCCTCAGCTCACTGGGTGAACACAGCCCCAGGCTGCCCCGCCCAGTCCAGAAAGCATGCACGTGAATGAGGATGCGCCCGCCATGCATGCATGCATGTGTGCGTGCATGTCTTTGCTTCCACTGGATGTAAACCACCAGAGAGCTGAGTCGGTTTGTCAGTTGACTTTGTTGAGACCTTTCCTGGCCGCTGGATTTATTCACTGACCTGAAGGCCCAGCAGCAGTCTCCCCACCCACCTCTGATCCTTCCGGATTCAGAGGAATTATACCCGAATCCTGAGAAGGTGGTGGATGGGCCCGGCGCGCCGAGACAAGAGTGCAACCCCCACCAGCGGGCCCCAGGGGAACAAGCGCTCCTGAAGAGAGGCCCCGAATCAGGCACAGCCAGGGTCCGGGCTATGCCCCCCATCCCCAACCTCCTTGGTGCCTCAGATAAAGCGCGCTGACAGGTCCCGGCATCCTGCCGGCATCCACGCGGCTGCAGAGCTGGAGGCGCCGGTGCCAGGGAGCCGGTCTGAGGCCGCCTCCCAGACCAGAGGACAAGCATCCTCAGTGGCGATGGCGGCCGCCCTGCCCTGGGCGTGGGCAGAGCTTGTAAAGCCTCCCGCTGCTGCTGCGCCGGGTTCCCACTGGAAGTGTTAATGAAAAAGTGACAGGAAGATGAGGAGACAGAGAGACTCGGGGAGAGGGAGAGCGAGCGAGGGAGAGACAAAGCGGGCCCCGAGCGGAGAATGTGCAGAGAGGCGGCAAGCAGGAGCCTGTTCGGCACACACTCACCGCCCGTGCGGGCAGCGCCAACTTCCCTGACAGCCGCAAATAGGCCCAGGAGATTGTGAGGCAGGTTACGGCTCGAAAGAAAAATCCCACCTCATGTTTGCAAACACTCCCCCTGGCCTGGTTTGAAAGGCAGAACGGCAGCAGCGACAGCCCCGACTGTAGAGCCTTCCAGAGCCTTCCGGGACCTGGGGCGGGCCGATCTCATCTCATTCTTTCCCCAGACAGGGTGGGGCTGGGAGAGTAACACTCACCTCTCAGTGCTCTGGAGCACTCCTGGTCCAGAGATGCTCCGTGAAGCACATGACTGCTGTCTACCCCCTACCCCCTCCAACGCCATGCTGTCCTGTGGGGATGGCCAGAATGAACCAACTCCCCCACTGCAAGGCCAGGCAGTGCCCTGGGAAAGGCGTCTTTCAGAACACACAGGGACGGGATGGGCAGGGCTGGGCCCAAGGAGGCTCTCGGTCTCTCCTTCATGCAGAGATGGACTCAAACGAGACCTCTCCAGGCGGAGGCCAAAACACCGGCACGACTCATCTCAGGGTGGGTGCACAAGAGCAGACGCGCCTGGGGTGGGGTCGCAGCTGCCTGCTGCCTCAGATAAACGCATCACAGCACAGACCCCCTCAGAGTGGCGCGAGGGTGGCTTGCGACCTTGCAGGCCCCGGACATGCATGTCACCATCAGGCCGGAGCTAAGAGTGGAGTGCCTCCTTAGCCACACCAGACGCTTGGGAACCTGCAGACCCATGGAGACCACCCCTCAAAGGGGCTCCCGGGAAAGCGCCCACAGCTCCCTGCAGAGGCCACTCGGCCGCCTGCCAGTCTCCTGGCACGCGGGGAAGAATGCCACACAGACCCTCCCAGGGGAAGTCATGAGCTGCCCTGTCCACCCGCAGGAAGAGCTGCCTGCCCCCAGCATCCCTGCTGATTAGGAGAAGGAGCCACTCATGGCTACCGGCGCTGTCCTCTGTCCGTCCGTCTGGCCCGGCTGTGCACCCCCTGCACTTGATTTTGTGACTGGCTCGGGGCATTGTGAGCTGTGTGGCAGAGTCCAGGGGATGCTCGGACTGCTCAAACAGGCGGGGATGGCCAGATGGCTCCCCAAGCTTCCCTGGGCATTCGCCAGGGGAGGGTTCAGCTGCCAAGGTACCCCACCTTCCTACCTCCCCCGCCCAGGAGACCGGCCACCTCGATCCCGCTGCACTTTCCAGAAAACTCGGACGGAAGCCTTGCGCCAACTCACAGGCTCCATGTGACACCACAGGGACTTACAGCTCCGGCCCGCCCCTGCCTCGGCCCCACGTGGTTGGCAAAGACCAGCAAGCTGCACTCAAAGGCCACTCTGTCTGCTTCTGCGGGCACACGGGCGCTGTGCCCACCATGAGCCTGACCCTTCCCTCCAGGCTCCTGCCCAGCCCCACTTCGATCTTGACGGCGAAGCTCAAGGCCACGGTTCCAGCTGAGGCCAGAGCCACAAGAAGCCACGCGGTGGGACCGAGAAGGCGCACTCCCACCCCAGGCCCCACTTACCTTGCCGAACTGCTCGAAGTATTGCTTAACGTCTTCTACCACCGTGTTCGCCGATAACCCGCCTACGAATATTTTCTTTGTTCTTGTGACCATCTAGGAGAGACGACAAGAGGGGCACGCAGGTGAGTGTGGTTAGGACAAACAACGCTTGGACGTTGAAACGGGCACATTTCTCTAGCAAGGCCCCCTCGGATGTGTCCCCACGCTACAGAGACCAGGGCCCGCTGGACACTGCAGCATGCGAGAGCCCCGGAGACTTCGGGTTTCAGGCGGGAACCTAGAAACTCCAGGAACCGCAAAGGGGATTCCAGAAGAACCTCCATGGCCAGAACTGCTGGCCTGTGCCGGACATTTCAGCACCGAGAGCGAAGCGACACTTCAGAGCTACTCACTGTCGCCTAGGAGATGAAAATAAAACAGGCCTGTGCGCACAAAGACCTGCCCCCAAAAAACTCACGGGGATCCCCCTCTTCAGTCCCCAGAGGTCCTGGGTGCCAACGGATACCTGACGTGCAAACCGCAGGCCCCTCACTCCGAGCACCATCTCCAGGATTCCTGCCTTGTGATTCACCTTGAAGGAACCCTGAACTCCGTCAAGCCCAGTGACCCCCACAAGATCCCCACAGCCCCATTTCCATGGCGTGCCTCTGTATTCCTATGATTCCCACGGCAAGTTGGAAGCGTCCGCCAAGATCCAATGCCTGATCTGCGGCCGTACACATCTCTCCAGCGCCCAGGTAACAGAGCACCGGCCTAATATATACCAGAGACCGACCCTCAGGGCCTCATACCACCCCAGAGCCGACAGGTCCCATGTGCATCACTGCATCACTGGGCCTGAACACTCAGGCCTGGGCTCCAGGTGAAGCATCCCCAGATGCAGAGTCATGGCCTATCCCCACAGCATGGCCAGGTATAGACCATCAAGAAAATGCCCAAAGATTTTACATTCTGCCCCGCCCAGAAGCTGCCCCTCTCCTCAACACTGTCCCATCCACCTCTCGTGCCACAGTCCCTAATAACCCCCCTTCCTATCAATAATCCCCTCCTCAGAAGATGGGCTCCTGAACCCTCGTGGTGACCCCCAACAGAAGCAACTAGAAGGCACACACCAAGTGGCGACAGGAGGCAGAAAAGGAAAACATAAAAAAGGCAGCCACGTTTGGGAACTCCACCAGCTCCAAAACAAAGGGAGAGAAAGCTCAGAACAAGGACCCAAAGGCAAAACAAGAGATTTTCCCGAAGACTGGGGATGAAAGGGTGTGTTTCTGTTGTTGTCATTATTATTTAAGTTAAACAGAAGTTCCTCTTTGTTGTTTTGTTTTGTTTGCTTTGTTCCCCCAGATTAGGAAATGTTTTCATCTCTCCCCTAGCCGCCTTGGCCTTCCCTCTCCTCCCTCACGTATGCAACTCAACAGGTACATGAAATGCCAACGGCCGTGGCCTACCCCCTAATATGATGCGGAACCCACTGTAAAACGGAGGCATTGTGATTAGCCTTCCACACCAGGCTCCTTGTAGGACTGAGCTGAATAACGTGCAAAGGGAGGTGGACGCCAAGTTAATAACCACCATAACCTAGCCCAAACCCAATTACTAAATTCTTCCTGAGAACAAACGGTGCAGCAGAAAGATACTCAACATACAGTTCTGTGCAAATCAACAATCACTACCTCCATTTTCCTCCACTCTAATCTCAAAACCACTGTTGGGCATTTCTGCCTGTTTTCCGATGGGCGAAGACTCCCAGTAGCTACATTTCAGATCTCTTCTCTCTCTCTTTTTTTTTTTTTAACTCCAACCAAGTAATTAAAATCTCTAATGAAACCCGGATGTGATCTGCAGGCATGCACGGCTGCTGACTTCCACTGGCAGGAACTCCCGAGAAGCCGTCTATAAAACCAGCCCCGCGGTCTCGCTGCTTCGTGGGCGAGAGCCAGGTGAGCCCAGAGCCAGCCCTATTTATATTCTACACGTTCCCTCAGACCCGGAGAATTAAACGACCCACATGTCTTCATTCCAAATAACAGAAGTCAACAGAATGTTCATTCCCCAGTAACCGGCTAAATGAAAAGGTCCCCTGTCACACCCTCCATGCTGTGTTTGGCCATAAACCTGCCAAGAAAGAGCCCTAAACACCAGGGCAGACACGGGCTATAAATCTACTCAGCTCCCAAAAAAAGGCTTTCAAACACCTTTAAAAAAAAAATACAGGAAAAAAGAGAGAGAGAGAAATTCCAGGCCCCTAGACAGTGAGCCAGAATGGTTGAGTTACTCAAACATCCTCCCCTAGAATAGTTTGGGTACAGGGATGGCGCCTGTTCTCCAACAAATGTTAAAAGGAAAATAAATGGCTTAATCAAAACCTTCCAGACGTGAAAGGCCCGTGGGAAAATGTGCAACACTTGGTTAGCTGCTCATAAGGTCCTGGCTTCGGGGACAGGGAGCGGAGCCAGAGTGTGCTCTGTAGGGGGACCTCTCCCACTGGGGGCTCATGGCAGGGTGTGTGTGTGTGTGTGTGTGTGTGTGGTATGCATGCACACATGCACCAGGCAACTCTACTCCCAATCCTGGAGGAACTACTTGCCAACGTTATTGGGATCCCCCATACTTGAGTCCTCTCTGGGTACACGGAGCACCCTGGCTCGAGAGCCGTTAGGGGAAACCCCTCCGCCCGTGGTACAGAGTGGCACCTGCACTTCCTTCCTGGGTTAGTCCCTGGGTAACTGTTCCTTAAGCCACAGCCTCACCTCACCACAGAACCTTGTCTGTGGGGGAAGGGAAGCAGGCAGCCACATCAGATGTGCCCATATGGGTGGAACCCACTCCTGCCCTGCTACTACAGGGCAGTGGAATGGACAGTGCCACCCCTCTGTTCCAAAGAGGGCTCAGTTCAAACTCCCTGGGTGCAGAGCTCAAATGTCCTTGCTTGGAGTGACTGCAGAAAGGATGCAGAAAATGCCCTGGTAGGGGTCACTTCCTACCCTCAGGCCCTGGGTGTCCCTGAGAGACCTCTCCCCACTCCAATAGACAACTCGCCCCTGTTTATGGTTTAGGGTGAGAAGGCATGTGCCGTGTGTGTTAGCTGTGTAAATGTGTGTAATGTGAGCTGAGTGTGGAGTTAAATGTGTTTATAACGTGTGCCATGTTTTAGTTGTGTGAAGTATTAGCTATGTCTGTGTGTAGTATAGCTGTGTGAGTGTGCAGTGTTAGTTGTATGCATGTGCAGTGTTTGTGTGTGTCTGCAGTGTTAGCTATGCACAGTATTAGCTGAATCTGTGTGTGAGCCGTGTGCAGTGTTAGTTCTGTGTGTGTAGTGAGATGTATATAGTGTGAGCAGTGTGTGTGTGTAGTATTGCTGTGAGAGCAGTGTACTCAGAGTGTGTATGTGTACAGTGTGAGCTTATGTGTGTAGTGTGAGTTGTATGTGTGTATAGTGTGAGCTGTGTGCAGTGTGAGCCATATAGTGAGCCCTGTGCCATGTGAGCTGTGTGCAGTATGTGCTGTGTGTAGTGTGTGCTGTGTGCAGTGTGAGCTGTGTGTAGTGTATGCTGTGTATCGTGTGAGCTGTGTGCAGTGTGAGATGTGTGTGCACGGACACCTCTGTGCAGGATTAGGGCTCTCACGAGTCACTGTTAGACGGCTTCGCGCCGAGGCCCAGCCTTTAACCAAACACCTCCAGTTCCACAAAGGAAACCCCAGCAGCTATTCCAGCTCTGAAATTGTTGTTTACACGCAGGAACTGGCCAAGGTCAGCTGCTAACTCAAGCTACAAAGAACATGCCATCTTCCTGCCTATAACCAGAGAGTGGCTGTCTTTTTTGTCCGGTTTCAAAAATTCCCTAAAAAAGCAAAAGTCTTTCTACCTGAAATGGTCACCTAGAGTAGGGCCACTGGTTCATATTTTTAAAACAGAATAAATCAAAGTGTGTGTGTGAGTGTGTGTGTGTGTGTGTGTGTGTGTGTGTGTGTGTGTTGAAATCCAAGGAGGGAGACATTAGAAAAGAGTCATTGTTTCGAAGCACAAGGGCCCAGAAAAATAGAGCAAGGGCTCGGAATTCATGCCTCGCAAGTATCGGGTGCTGAGTTCAAATCCCCAGTGCCCTATGTCACCAGGCACTCTCCTGGCACCTACACACTGCAACTCCCCAGCACCCTCAGGCAATATCTGACCACACTGAAGCTAGGTGTGTATAGGTACACAAAGGGGGTACAACACCCCGTGAGCATAATGGAAAGGATGTGTGAGCATCCCTGCAGGAAGCTTCTGCCCTGAGCGTGTATGTGCGTGTGTTGTGTGTATGTGTGTGAAGGCCACCACCAGCGCAGTGAGCACTGAGGGACACGCTGGCTACACAGCACGAGGTTCCTGTCTAAGCCCACGGACCCGTTCCAGCTAGGCTGGTATTTATGAATATACTTACTTTCATCACAGGATTTATGCCCTTCGAAGTGGTAACTTGTACAGTATGTGAATAAAGCTGCTTTTTTGCCTTTGGGGGGCAAAAGGGTATTGGGCCACCCCCAGCCACGCTCAGGAGCTGTTCCTGGCTCTGTTCAGGAGTGACGCCTGGCAGTGCTCAAGTGACCAAATGTGGTACTGGGGACACAGAACCAAGGCCAGTGGGATGCACAGCCAGGACCTGACCCCGGTGTATCTCTCTGGTGCTTGCTTTGCTTTTTAGTCATCAACCAGAAAGATGTGCAAGTCAAGAGTCTGAATGTAAAAAGGTCTTACAATGAGCCAAGAGTCAGGGCTAGCAGTGTGGCTGACTGGCTGATGGGCACTTGCCTTGCATGTATGAGGCCTAGAGTTTGATGCCCGGCACAGAAATAGAACTAAACAGAAATAAAACAGAAACAGAACTAAAACAAGGGCTAAGAAAGCCTGTCACTCCTGCCGCATAGGGATTGCCCGCCCGCCGATCCCACGCACCTCACTCGCCCACTGCACCCAGCAAACAGCGACGTGGCAACGTTTTACGCGGCCCACTGCAAAAATCAATTTAACTTCAGAGGAAACTAATTATAAATACAACCCCAAATGTTTCGGAGTGCTCTGTCTCCCCGTCTACATACCTATTAGCGTGAGA